GGGGAGAAAAGAAAAGATCAATTGTCTGTTGTTAGTGGCTGGAGGAAAAAAAAGTTAAACATTCCTCTCCTTGTCTTGCTTTGGCCACTGAGCACATTTTCTTCTAACATTGTGGAAGGCCTGTCAAAGGCAAAGTGTTCTAAATCAGAGAGGTCTGAATTCTAGTTCTGAAATGCAGCTATCAAAATGGCTCGGCCCAGAGACAGAAAGGAGAGTTGGGTAGGCAGTACCCCACTATTCCTGTGACTCTCTGGAGCTGAGGCTGAGGCAGAAATGATGCAATGTTTGTGTTGCACCTGGATTATTTCTGAGGCCATAGTGGTGAGAGGGACGTGCAACCCTAACCAAACCAAACCTTGTTGCTATGAGAAACAGGAAATTGAAAAGGATGGTGTGCCCTGCTTGGTTTTCAAGAATTCAACACTTGCCAGTTTCCCTCAGGTTATTCCTGCCCAATTCTATCAGGAAGGATCTTCATGTTATTCTTCTGCTGTTCACAATGAGCAGAGTTACTCTGTCCCCACAGATTAAGTGACTGCCTTCGTTTTCCTTTTATTCTTAGCAACAATGACAGAATCTATACTAGTTCAGGAAAGCAAGGCACTTGCCTCTGAGGACAAAAAGGAAGGGGCATCAAAAAGCCTCATTAACCAAGGTAAACAATATTTTATTTATTTTTTATTTTTTGGGTACCAGGGATCGAACTCAGGACCTTCAGCTTGCAAGGCAGGTGATGGAACCACTGAGCTAAATTCTGGCCCCATACAATATTTTAATACAATATTTAGAAACTACTTAATCAATACAAATATCCATGTTAAACAAAACCACCCAAAATTTCAATAGACACTGAATTGGTATTAATTTCTCCTTTTGCCTCCAGGTGCAATATGGCTTAGCACTGCCCAGCACTATATTTTGTGCTTGGCACTGTGCAGTGGAAGCAAGACAAACATGTCTCCCATTAGTGGAGCTTCCGGTCTAGCAGACAAGAGAAACTGAGTAAAACATCAAAAGCTGACCATGGCACCAAGTACAAGGAGGCCTGACTTTTCTATGACCTTGCCTTCTCAGCAGTACCACTGTGTCCAAACCATTATCAACACCATGGGGCAAAATCTGCTCTGTGTGAGGGTGAGCATAGGAGTGGGAGAGCGGCATAAAAAGCACAAAACAATGCCAAGATTTTTGTTGTTGTTGTTGTTGTTTGTGTACTGGGAATTGAACTCAGGGCCTAGCATATACTAGGCAAGCATGCTGCTACTGTGCCCTTTTTATTATTTTTTAAATTTGGAGACAGGGTCTCACTAAGTTGTCCAGGCTGACCTCAAACTTGTGAGGCTTTTGCCTGAGCCTCCTGCATAGCTGGGATTGCAGGCACATGCCACCAGTGCTTGACCTGGATACCAGGATTTAATGAACCATATCTAAGTCTCTAGTGGACAATTCTTGATGTTCTAAGATAAGACTCTGCCAATTTAGTAACTTAATAACCACATTTAGCCAAGTGAAGATTATATATTATAATATAAATTCTATATATAATCTCATCCAAATGAGGATGTCTGATGAGAACCTGGAAGAGGGGGTGGGGAACAAGGAACTAGATAGAAAAGATTGACAATGTAAGCATCCTGATGGAAATGGGGTAAGAGGGCAAAGATTTGATAAATTGGACCTCCTGTCTCCTCTGAGCAGCAAAAGAGGATTGACAGGACAGTGGTCCCCAGCTTCCTGGACACCTACGCCCCTGCTGCCTGCTGGAATCCCATCCTTGTGGACAACTCCTGTGGCTTATCAGTCCCATTGGATGGAAAATGCTCCTTGGCCTTTGGGTAACTGATGCATCCTTTAGGTAGAAGAACAACATAGTTCTCCAGCCAAGGTGGTCAAAGATATCTTCTTCTTATCAAATCACTCCTAGAGGCAACATAACTCTGCAAGATTTAACAGTTACCACTTACTCAGACATCTGTTTCAGTGGCAAGGAGGCAACACTGACTAAATCATGATTCTCATGTCCAGTTGAAACTTACTCTTACACTGTCTCCTCTTGGATCCGTATCACCTCTTGTATAGCTTCTTTTGTATAATTGTGGAGGCCTGGAAAATACATTTGATGATTATTGAATGATTATTGATGCCTCAACAGATCTTTTACTATAGAGATCTTGTGGGGAGAGGGGCAGTAAGTGGTCAGAATTCAGAAGTTACAAGTCAGAGCTCTGCAGCAACAGTTCCTCCAACTGATATCACCTTCAGCCCCCAGTTAGGCCATGTGGAGTACCATCTCTGTAAGTAGAAATCAGGCCTACAATTACTCCTTGAGTCTCAGGGAGGAGTTCTGACAAAGAACACTGCACATCTTCAGAGCAGGTGGTCTCTTTCTGTCTTTATAATCAAACAAAACTTTTTCCAGCTGTTCTGTGGCAGACTACTACTGCCTGGGATCCTAGAATCATGTCATTTTTCCTCTCGTTCTCTGCAACATGGGCTGCTGATCCCTCAGCCTGGAAGCCTTTCTTCTCTTTGTGCACTGTGGGTCCAGGGAGACTGCACCCTGAGGGTGCAAGATGGGCTGCTGGAGATGTTCATAGCTGGAATAGACAGTGGCAGTCTCTTTTGATGTCTGTGCAGGGGAAATAGAGTTGCTTTCAAATTTTGCATAAAATAACTTTGGTTATTGACTAATAAACAGATGAGAAAGGAAATATATTATAAATTTTCTTTAAGAGACAAATATCATCTCCTCTTTTTCTCTTCTCCTCAGTAAACTGTGCCCAAATTTGGAAGTATCAAATACAATTTATTGTCCACTTAAATGTTTTTGTAACTATAGATGTTATACTTGGATCAAGTTCCATTATAATAAACTCTTCTTGGTCTCCAAATTATTTTACAACAGTGGAATTTTACTAAAACAAATGGACTTTATAAATCACATTTCCTGACACCAGCTTAGAGTCAGTTTGAATTTTTTTAGTTCCACAACTCAACCAACAATAAATTTTATGCAAGTATTTTAATTCTTTGATTTTTAGTTTCATCTACCATAAATTGTGGATATTAGGTATAGTTGTCCTAATTCCTCATAGGACCAATAGATTATTTGTAAAATGATACTGTTAACTAGAGAATTTCATCTAAATATTAGCTTATTGTCTATTGAAGGGACATCAATCACAATTGAGAAGGTATTTTGGGCTTTCTGTTTATGTGGTGGTGGTGGTTTGCAATCCAATAGAATTAGGATAATTCATCTTCCTCTGTGTTGTCCAGCATTATATATGACACAGTCCTGTAACACTGCATTTATTTACCTATTCAACATAGTAACCAGAGCTTTCCTGTACTCCTTCAATGCTCTTAGAGCATTTTGCTTCTACTTTTCTCCAGTTGACATGTGGGAGTTCTATAATTTTGTGGCCATCTGATTTATTAGTGTTGGGCAAAAGGAAGACTCAAGCAATACATTCTGCCAATTTAGATGTCAAGGGAAACTTAGCTCTATTAGAAAGCTTCCCAATTCTCCTGTGTGGTCCAGGAGATGCTGAGCGCTCACAAGGAGGAAGGAAGATGGGACTCCCAAGGCTGAATAAGAGGTAAAGATTCTATCAATAGATTTATTCCTCTTCTTTTCATGATATTACTCTACTATGACTTGAATGTATGTGTCCCTCCAAAATTCATATGTTGAAAGCTGAAGTGATGATGTTAGGATATAAGGTCTCTGGGAGGTGATAAGGTCATGATGGCTCTTCTCTCATGAATGATTAGCCCCGTTATAAAAGGTCTGGAAGGATCTAGTGAGGTTCCTTTGCTCTTCCACTTTCCACCATCCTGAAAGCAGAGAGGAGCCCTCATCAGATACTAAATCTCTTGGTATTTTGTTCTAAACTTACAAGCCTCCAGAAACCATGAAATAAATTTCTGTTCTACAAAAATTATTCAGTCTGAGGTATTTCATTATAGAAGTAGGAAAGGACTAAAATATATCCACAGGCTTATCATGGGACATGCTGCTTAGTGAAAGTAAAGATCCTTAAACTGGGAGAGGCCCATGAAATGCTGTAATGAGAAAACAATGTTAACATTTCCCTGCCCTCCCTGTACCCCCTCTACCCTTCTCAAGATACATCATGTAAAGGTACAAGATCCCAATGATGAATGTAACTGTATTGTATACCTAAAATGTACCAATAAACTTAATGGAAAAACACAAAACAAAAAACAATGTTAACATATAGCTTAGGTAAAAGATGCTTTCAACATAGGTTGGAGATACCCAGAACCTACTTCTGTGATGTCAGCATATCAGTCATTGCCGCGAATCTTTAGGGGTTCACCCTAATGTGTTTGGGCAAGTACAAATTTGTGAAGACATTCGTGACCACAACCAAGAATAACTTCACTGAATGAAGTTTACAGATCACCTCTCACCTAGTCATTCCAGTACAAAACAATCTCCATTTGTGATAATATATAGAAATATGCAAATAATATTGAACTATTAGAATGATGGGCTGTTGTGGAGAGAATAGGGCAGTGGGTATGTGAATGAAAAACAATGAAAAATACATAAAACAAGAGCACAACCTTGCATAGGGACATATAAGAATTATGATTTATTCAGTATTTTATATATGAAATTAAAAAATTAAGTTAAAAATGTGAAATCTCCTAAATTTCTGAGTTAGTCTGGACTCTGTAGTTTTCACATTCTTTAATGATCCAGTGGGCTCTATACTAATAGAAGAGGGATTTTGGTTGAGTTAAATTAAAAAGAGAAAAAGGAAATAAGAAAAGAAATGAAGAACATGTTCTGCATTGATCCCTCAACTGTGCCTTTCATAAATCCCTGTTGGTTCTCATAAAAGCTCAATAATTCTTATATTTTTCTCTTGGATGTTGTAATTCATGTCCCTCATGGCATCCTTTCATAAACTTCACTCTCTTTAAGCCTCTACCCTAAGTTCTTTCTTTTCCCTGACTCTCATCAGATAACTTCACCAACAACTGCCTGGAGACCAACATCATCTGTCCCAGATAAGGTTCTTGATTTCACACAGCAGAAACTAGCCTTGTTGCCTTTAGCAAATAAAGGAATTTATAAGGACATGGGAGCCAACAGAATGCACTGAAGACTGCAGGAGCAAGCTTGGAAAATAAGCAAAAACCAAAGATTTCCTGGAGGCTAGGCTGGAGGAGGAATGTGGCCTGATGAGGCCATGGCTGCTGCCTCTGACTACTATAGGACGTTGTTGCTGGATATCGACTACCAATGAACAAGTGTGGTAATAAGCCTCCAAAATAGTACCTGATGATCTTCACTCTCAAGTTCACACACCCTTGCCTACTCCCTTCCCATATTGCATGGGATTTTCCTGTGTATCTAATGGGATATTATGGAAGTGATTGTGTGTGCCTTTCCTGGCTAGGTTATAAAAGATATTGTGTTTTCTGCATTTATATTTCTTATATCATTTGTTTTTGGGTAAACCACCTACTAGTTTACTACAGACTACACACTAGGTCATGAGGTCACCTAAAAATCCTGTAGAAAGTTCTTGTATAGAGGAACTGAGGCCTTCTGCCTGAAGTCAGTGATAAATCATGGGCTCCTGGCCACAGTCTTCTGAGTGAACCATCTTAGGAGTGGATCCTCTGAGCCAGTCAAGTCTTCTGGTAACTGCAGTTCCACCTGATACCTTGGTTGCCACCTCATGGGTGATTCTCAGACAGTATACCCAGCTAAGTTGCTCCCAAATTCCTGACCAACAGAAACTGAGAAAACAAATATTTGTTGGGGTAAGCCACTGTTATTTGAGAATTTGTTGTCCATTAATAAGCAATTAACACAACACCCCTTTACCTTTGGATTATACTCTCCACAGTGAAAGACCCAAGGGAACCTTCTGGTTGACTGAATGTATATTATGGGCGATATGCTGTCTTCCTTCCAGGGGGCAAGTGGAATGAGAATATTTCACCCTTACTTCTTTAGGGCTGATAGGGCACTGTACCACACTAATACTGCACACAAAGGAAAGCTTTCAACTAGGAAGATAGTTGGAATTTAGATAGTAAAAAATATCTATTGATCCAGCCCATGCCAGGCACATCCATGGGATGCCGGAGAGAGGTCCCGGGTTGCAGGGAGCCACGTTCCATTCAGCCCACCAGGCAATCAACTTGATGCCAGAGAAAGGTCCTGGGTTGCAGGGAGCCCCGCCCCATCCAGCCCGTGCCCACAGTGGTGATCCACTTAGCTGTGCAGGCACCTGCAAGACCCCCTCCCCTTCTCCTCTGGTCTCTTGGCTGTATCGCCACCTGGTTCCACACTACAAAGATGCAGGGGACACCAGACCACCAGACCACCGTACTGGGTAAGTTGGAGGGATCATCACCTCCCATCAGAACCTGGACTATCTTCAGGGGAAGGGCAGCTGGAACCTGCAGTACAATCTTGCAGAGTTCAATCCTACAGGAGGACAGGGAGCTCAACTTGGGACTTGCAGCCTGAAATCTGCCTGAATCTCACAGGTCTGTGACTGGCTGGCTGAGACTCAGTGACTTATATCTGCACACTGCTGCCCATGTTGTCTATTGTGATGGCAGAGACATACCCTGAAGGAGGCCCATCATTTTCATTTTTATTTCCAACATTAGTATTGTTGGTTTGTTTCTTTCTCTCTTATTTTTAATTTTTTTCCTACTCTTTGCAAATTTTTGTTTTTCTCTTTTTTCTCTTCTTTCTTTTCTCTTTCCTTTCTCTTTCTCTCACACACTCACTCTCTCGCTGTCCCACATTGTTCTTCATCTCCCTTTTTATTCCTGTTCTGGGCCTAATTTGCATTTCTTCTTTATTTTTCTTTTACTCTCTTTTTCCTTCTCATGCCTGTGTCCTCTGGTCTCACTGCTAACCTTTCCCCATCCTTCTACCTATCTATCCCTCCCTCCCCAATTCCTTCTAACTCCCCATCCCTAAGGGTAAAGTTGCTATATTGAAGAGTTTATTTTCACTATAAACATATGTTGGGTTGGTCCTCAATTTTGATTTAATTCACACAGATAAAGGTGTTAGATTAATAACTACCACAAATTGTCATTTTCTAAGATGTACGAGATGCTATGGTGTTGCTGATTGTATCACTTGGGCTAAGGTGTTGTTATTGATCTAGTCAGTGGTCCTTCCTGGTATAATGAAAATGAGATAGGCTCAGAGTCATTAGAGACTCAAAACCTAAAGACCAGCTATATCTGGAGGACCCCTCTGAGAATCAATCATTCCGTAAGGTTTCTAATTGCAAGCAACAAAGATACTTGCAATAAGCAATTTCCAAGTATCAACCCAGGAATTAAATGAAGGACAGTATCAAAAACAAAAATGAGAAGATCCTTAAGCAAGGCACAAACTCAGACTTCCACCCCACGAAGGGTAAACTCCAGGGGAAATGAGGTGGAAAAGTCTTATAATCAACCACCTGGACACCTTGAACTGATAGCACAGAAAGTAATGAAACAGATAAATGAGGCTCTAGAAAAATTCAAAGCAGAAATAATCTCCCAGATAACTGCAGATATCGTGAGCAGAGTGAAAGACATGATTAGAGGCTCTAGAACAGAAACAGATAAAAAAAATAGATGAGCTCAGAAACATTCTGGAAGACATGAATGTCCAGCATAAGAAAGAAATGAAAACCATGACTGCCCAACACAAGAAAGAAATGGAATCTATGAAACAGATTCAAACAGATATTCAGGAGATTAAAAACTCCATTGAAAGCATGCAGAGCAAATTAAGGAAATCTGAAGATAGAATATCAGATATAGAAGACAGGATCATGGTGAAGGACCATGAAAACAGAGATTTCTTAAAAATAGTAAGGGGCCATGAGAAATCAATCCAACAGCTGCTAGACAATGCAAAGAAGAATAACATAAGACTGATAGGAGTCCACAAAAAAACAGGAGAAAGTACAATTGACATAAAAAACTGTTCACAGAAGTAATAGTGGAAAACTTCCCAGACAGAGGTAGAGAATTGGACATACAGATAAGTGAGGCATATAGAACTCCAACTAGCCATGATCAAAAAAAAAATCTACACCTAGACATAGAATAGTCAAGATCCCAGAAACCCAACAGAAGAACAAAATCCTACAGGCAGTTAGAGAAAAGAAACAAATCACCTACAAAGGAAAGACCATCAGAATCACAGCAGACTTCTCAACACAAACCCTCAAGTCAAGGAGAGCCTGGAGTGAAGTATTTCAAACCCTAAAAGAAAATAACTTCCAACCTAGACTGTTGTATCCTGCAAAATTATCTTTCAAAATCGATGGGGAAATTAGATACTTCCATGACAAAGAACACCTGAGAAATTTCATGAGCACCAAACCAGCACTACAAGCAATTCAAAACAATATCCTAGAAAAAACAATGAAGGCCAGAACTCCATGAGGCCCAACAGAGGGAAGCTACTGGGCAAGGTAAGAAAATAAAAGGAAAGGGGAAAAAGTAAATAAAAGAGCCAACAAAAGTAAAACATCATGACAAGGATGAATCAATATCTATCAATTATAACCATCAATGTTAATGGCCTCAATTCATCAATCAAAAGAAATATACTGGCAGAATGGATTAAGAAGCAAAATCCAACAATATGCTAGATACAATAAACACACCTAACTCAAAAAGAAATTCATAGACTGAAAGTAAAAGGATGGAAAACAGTTCTCCACATGACAGGAACCCAGAAAAAAGCAGGGGTAGCAATCTTATTTGCAGACAAAGTAGATTTCAAACCAAAGCTAATTAAGAGAGATTAATTAAACGAATTACATCCTTGTGAAGGGACCAATCCAAGAGGAAGAGATGACAATCTTAAATATATATGCACCAAATACGAATGCCCCCAACTATACAAAACAAATATTAAGGGACATGAAAAACCAAATAACACTAACACAGTTGTAGTGGGGGACCTCAATAACCCACTCCCACAAACAGACAGATCATCTAGACAAAAAATTAACAATAAGATTCTAGAACTGAACCAAGCTATCGAACAAATGGATTTAAAAAATGTTTAGAGTGTTCCACCCCACAAAATCAGAATACACATTCTTTGCAGCTGCACACGGGTCGTTCTCCAGAATAGATCACATGCTAGCTTACAGGACATGTCTAAGTAAATGTAAAAGAATTGAAGTTGCCTCCTACATATTACCAGACCATATTGCATGAAAATTAGAGATCAATAACGTAAGAAACTGAAAAAACCCCACAAACACATGGAAACTAAATAACACCCTTCTGAACAACCAACGGGTTACACAGGAAGTTAAACAAGAAATTAGACAGTGTCTACAAGTAGATGATAATGCCAGTACAACATACAGGAATCTGTGGGACACAGTGAAAGCATTTCTACTTGGGAAATTCATAGCAGTGAATGCTCATATTAGGAAAACAGAGAGAACTCAGATAAATAACCTAATGCAGAACCTCAAGCTCCCAGGAAAAGAAGAGCATAACAAATCCATAGGTCATACAAGAGAAGAAATTATAAAGATCAGAACAGAAATCATTGCAATGAAGACTAAGAGAATGAAACAAAAAGTCAATGAGTCAAAGAGTTGGTTTTTCAAAAGAATAAATAAAATTGATAAACCTTTAGCCAACCTTATCAAAAAAAGGAAAGAAAAGGCTCAAATCCATGCAATTAAGAACAAAAAAGGTGAAGCCACAACAGATCCAGCAGAAATCCAGAGGATCATCAGTACCTACTTCTAGAAACTGTACTCTAATAAAAGGGAAAACACAGAAGAAATGGACAGAGTCCTAGAAACATACAAATTGCCAAAGTTAAATGAAGATATAGCAATTCTAAACACCCCAATTACAATGAGTGAAATTGAAATTGTAATAAAAAATTTACCAACACTGAAAAGCCCAGGTTCTGATGATGTCACTGCTGAATTCTACAAGACATTTAAAGAAGAACTATCACCATTACTCTTTAAACTCATCAAGGAAATTGAAAGGGAAGCAATACTTCCAAAATACTTCCTGGAAGCAAGTGTTTCTTTGATCCCAAAACCAGGGAAAAACAAAACCCCAAAAGAGAACTACAGACCAATCTCCCTAATGAACATAGATGCAAAAATCCTCAACAAGATACTGGCAAACAGAATACAGAGTGTCATCAAGAAGA